AGAAAAAAACTAGTGCAACAAACTAAGTTATCTTTAGCAGACATTCATAAATTTATTGATCTTTGTACTAGTAAGTGTTACTTATAGGGATTAACAAAAGTGTTTCAAATCTGCCTGTTACCCCTACCTTTACCCTTAATAACATTTTAAACCAAGTCTGCAGGGTTGCTGCTAGCAGATTCTGATTTCTTTTTAAATTATCCTAACATTCTGCATCTTATTTTATTGTCTCATTGAAAACAGTGTTCTATTTGACCTATAGAAATTAGCAAACACTAATTCCTAAATTATCCAACTCTTGTTTGATGATTATAATCCTATTGCCTTAACATGGCATTATGCACAGTTTTTAAATGAATTGCTGACAATAATAATGAACTTCATTATCAACCACACCAATTACATATGGGTTTCAAATAAACAGCTTAATTTTCTATATTATTTTATATAAGTTAATATCTATCTGTCTTAATTCCTGGATTGTAACATACTTATGTTACAATCCAGGAATTGAGACCAAAAATTAAAGCAAATGATCTCACCACTGACTGGAAATGCATTTAAGCTGATGTACTTAAGAATTAATAAGCAACATATAACTTAATATACTGTTTTAAATGCTGTTATAAAAGTTGTTATTTTACGTCCATTAAAATTCTATAAAAGTTGATTGTTTAAACTGCATTCTTAGTAAACTTTTGTCAAATACTTAACCCCTTAATTGTAACACGCAAACTAATATTACAGTCCATTCAAATATACCTTGTCTTTGATCTTTATTCACAGAGTATAAAACACATCTGCTACTAGATATGACCGTTTTCTCTGGAATACTTTTAATAAATTGACAATCTATTGATTGTAAAGGAGAAGGTAACACATGAGTGCTATTTCAATTTTTTTTCACTGTTTTATGGTTTTTTACAATACTTGAATTACATTGAATACAAAACTTGAAATACATTGAATACAAAACACTAATTTTATGCATGAAAATCTTTTTATAAAAATTTTTCACTTTTTCTTTCAACTTTGTAGGTTATTAACTTTTTGTCAGATCTGTCAATGCTGTCTGTGTTTTTTTTATATTTTTGTTATATCAAACAATTACATATAGTTTTTTTTCTTTACCAGCTCTTTTAATAGTGACTCTATTATTTGGAACACAGGTACTCAGCATATGTACATTGATCATTCCATGTCAAATCACCTAAAGGTCCCCAGGGCACCACCCTAAATTAGCTTCAAATTTTGACCACCCACAGCTTTTATGAAAAAAAACACAATTTAGAAAATTTCAGCTTGATTGACTAAATCATTCAAAAGTTATAATTGAATTAATATTGACCAAAATCAGAAAAACTTGAGTATCTGGAGCTACAGTAGATTTTTTCAATTTTTACCAGATCATAACACAATCCGTTGATGATTTTTTTTTGTGGACTTTTAATGCATCATAAGAGTATTTTTTAAGTTCTTCATATCTAGAAATATTTTTCATGGTAACAACATTTCTCCTCATTTCATTTGAAAATACATGCAATACTTTGCATTAAAACTTTAATATCAGTATCTTTTAGTCTTATTCTTCCTACCATTCTACAATATGACATTTTATTACAATGTTCATTTAAAACTCTTCCCACATTTTTCTGACATTTTTTACTCATCTAAAAATATTATAATCGAGGGTTAAACATGTAACACCATTATAATCTCAAAAAAACTTTTTTTTATATTTTTCCAATAATAAAATTGTAAAAACGAAATCTCAAGTATAAATGTGATTAAAACTGTCTATAATGCAACCAGTACAATATTTCTACATTTAAATATTTCTGCATACACAAAACTTTTACTTTTTGGTTCTCGCAATATCAAAAACTAAAATAATAAAATCCAGAAAAAACTGTGCCGATTTAGATTATAATACAAACTCTTGAATTAAAGTATTTTACATTATAAATACTTTTAGTATATCATTATAATTATTATATTTTTAGTATATCATTATAATTATATTATAAGCATAAAATTTAACAAATACATGTTATAAAATTATACTAAATAAATTAGGTTAAGACACTGTCAATTTTATTTTAGGAAAAACTGAATGTATTTGTTTAGAGAAAAAATAAAAAAATGAAGTTTCTAGTTAAGTGTGAAAGTATAAATTGAGTTTCAGTGAAGAAGGTTGTAATAGAGGAAGGTAAGGTTTTATTAAGGGAGTCAAAAACAAAAAAAAGATTAGCAAGTTTAACAAGTGCATACAACTTTTACTTTTGTTAATTTAGGAAAAACTAAATATATTTGTTTAGAGAAAAAATAAAAACATAAATCTAAGTCAAAGGGCTACAACCCTTCATAATTAGGCTATAAAAATCCATTGTAAAGTATCCATTCCACACTTTTAAGCTTTTAGCAATATTTTAAAAGTACTTTAGAGTATAAAATCTAGACCATATTTCTGTTATAAGTTACCAAATAAAATTGTTGAACAAAGTAACATCAAACGTATAAAATCTGATCTTTTGTTTAGCTTATTTGTGAAACGGAAAAATAGTAATCCGTCACACAAAAATAGTAGAACAGTTCCAGAATGCGGAAATAACCGTCAAATATAAATAGCACAACAGTTTCATTAAATAACCGTCAAATATAAATAGCACAACAGTTTCATTAAATTGAGATATCCGTTAGACACATTGTGAGCTACACCTTTCAGAGACGGATAAATCTGTCTCTGAAAGGTGTAGCTCACAATGTGTTTAACGGAAAAATAAGGCAAATAAGGAGTTAACAACATATTCAATATTATAGATTACTCGAAATGCAATTTATGTGTATACACATATATGTTGTTTCTGTGTGTACTATATATATGTACATATTTATATTTGACATTTTAATTTATTTTTATTATTTTTTTCAGCACTATTGAATGTCGAATTCCACATGGTTGTGTTTTTAAGTTTGATTTACTTGAAGATGAAATTTGTAGCGAAGTCGAATTCCAATTAAACAGTGTTGTTAATAATTGGACATCTATTAATAATAAGAAACAAGCATTTCAATATTATTTAACAAAAAAAAAGAATGCGACATTGTTTGTGAAAGTAGAAAAGTTATTATTTGAAAATGAAACACTTAATTTTAAGTTTTCATTTCAAGGTTTAAAAAAAACATTCTTTCAACATTTTTGTTCAGTTAATATTATAGGTATAATTTATAATTATTTTGTTCATTATAATTAAAAATAAAATATCTCAAATCATAAATTTTTAAAATCTAAATTACATTTTAATTTTCAATTAAAACTCAAAGGCTGTTTTTTCTTTTTTCAAGTTAATTTTGATATTTTTGACCTATTTTCCTACTTTTTTTTTATGATTATTTTGAAAACTTTAGTACTAATTTGAATAAACAGTTTTTAAATATAGTTTTAAATATATTGTTTTTATAATTAATTTTTGTGAATATATATGTTAATTTTATTTCATTTTACTTTTTACTAGGTAATTGCAACTATGAGTTAATCTATAATGGGTTGTGTGTTGCAACACCTGAACCAATTTCTAACAACGGGTTTAGACAAAATGTAAGAACAACAAATTCTTTGGATTGGAGAGAGACAAACAATATTTGTTTAGATAAAATACCTAATAATAAATCAATAGAGTTAATTGCATTAGATTATTTTAATAGAAATTTTTCTGATTGTAATGATGTTATTTATGTCACTTCTTCTATTGCTGACAATGATAATTTAGTTGCTTCCAAGTTTATTGAAATATTTACTGTGAATTGTACGGGTATACGTGCTGTACTACCTGGTTACCGTTTACGTTATCATGCATCTCTTTTAAAGTGCAATGTTGAAAAGTTTACTAATTATAATGATGAAAATAGAATAACAATTTTTGTCTCTGAACTCAACCTTGTTATAATTGCTCGTGTTTCTACTTCAATATATTGCCTCAAGCTAGAATCTGAACAGTGTTTAAATGATGTCATATTATTTGTTAATGTTAACAATCCTCTAATTGATACTAATAAACTAATTATTTTGGGAGTTGTAGTTTTACCGTTACATGATCGTAAACATTTGAAAGAAGAGTTATTTTATCACTTCTCAGAGGATTTTGATTTAGATAAAATTTTGTTTCTATGTAAAGATGACATTGAAGATGAGAATTTTGAAACTTGGTGGAGATTAGTTGTAGCTTACTGCATTAAAAAAGTAAATGCAAAAAATAATAGTGAAGTACTATTTAAAAAACTCATCAGTTTAACTATGATGTCAATGTCTATAGTTGACCATTGCTATCCCACATTAGAATCAGATACTCAAAAACAGATACGATCATTGGTTCTTAATGTTGAACAAAGAAATGCAATCAATGACAAAGCTTTGAAAAAAATCATCACTGGAGGATATGGTTCAGGTAAATCTATAGTAGGAAAAGAGATTGTTAAAAAATGTATTTCTCATAAGTCACAAAATCCTTTGACCCTATTTTATATATGTTGTAACCATTTCTCTTTGTATGAATGCCATATGAAAGAGTTTGTTGACAGTTTAGAGAAATCTTCAAATATTAAGGTTGTCTGTGATAATTTATATGAGTTGTGGAAAAAAATGTGCAAAAACAAAAGCACTTCAAGCAATTACATTTCAATACCAAAATTGCTAGAGTATTTAGCGAGCACCAACGGTAACAAAGTATGTTTTGTACTTGAAGAACTTTCTGAAGAGTATGTTAAAGAAGAAGATGCAGCTCAACTTAAACATTTGTTTGCATCTATATTAAAAGATTCTTTAGTCGTTTTTATTCCTGAGAGTATTTCAAAGAATCGAAAATTGATAGCAAATAAGCAAAAACGTACAATACAAAGAAATTACTTTCAAGAAAAAATAATAGGAATGAAGGTCATATCTCTAAATAAATCAATGAGAGTTACGGAATGCAATAAACTATTAATAGATATTACTCAAAAAACTATTTGTGAAACAAAAAGTGTTTTAAACATTCCAAACACTAACTTTAAAATATTGGAAGAAGGTAAAGGAAATAATTTGTTTAGAGTTGAAGATAAGCAGATTGAGGAAGGGAAAGATTTATAAAGTTTGCATATGTCGACATATGATTCTAGAAATAATTCTAAAAATGTAACACCTAATTTTATAGAAAACTATGTAAAAGATAAGGAAAAAATAGATGGCACACCACATTATGACTTAATTGACACCATTAAGGTAAATAAAGATAATAATTATGCATCTGTAATAGATAAAAAAGATTTTGAATCAAATATTACTAATGATGAAACTGTTAATAAATTTAAAGACTCAACAGATTCAAAAATTACTAACAAAACTGTTGAAAATACTAACAAAATTGTTACTAGCAAAACTGTTGAAAACTTTACAGACTATAAATCAGATCAGTCTCCAGAGAAATTAGAAAACAAGATTATTGATACAATTGTTAATGATTTTCATGACAATGATTTAGATTACATGGCAAAGCTAATAACAAAAAGTATTAGTAATATTGATCCAAAATGTCATATGGAGACCGAATATGTTTTCAAATCTGGTAAAATAGGCCACTCAATTAAAGGAGAAAAACCCAAGGTTGTGTATTTACCTTTTCATGATATAACAGACAAGCAATCTGTTAAATTGTTATCCATTGTATTAGAAAAAATTTGTTTTAATGTATTAAGAAAAACTGTGGTTATATGCAACAATATCGAAGAAGTGCAATCTGTTTCATATGCAATAGATACAATTAAAAATTTTAAAGCAGTAACATATTCACCACATATGCAGAAATACTCTCCAACATTAGAGGCAAAATTTAAAATTCATAATAATTTAAGAAGTGAACTGGACATTCTTGTAACTGACTGCAAAGGGTTTTCAGGAGCGGAATCTGAATCTGTAATTGTGTTTGTAAGTCCAGAAGAGATTTTTCTTCGTCATGTTCTTGTGGATGCTATTTCTAGATCAAACTCATGTTTAACTGTCTTTGTTAAGAGATACAGTTGTATCAAAAAGCTTTTAAATAGCGACAAAACTATCGGAAATGTATTAAAATTTTGGTCAGAAGAGGTAGTTGAAAAAATTACTGTTGTAACATCTAATGAAAAAAATCAAAAATCAAAAGATGGTTTCTTCATAGTAGAAGAGAATTGCAAGGTGTTTATTGATCGTGGATCTACTATTGATTTTGAAAAATACAAGAGAAGTTTACAGTTTCAAGTCTTTCATGAAAATAACTTTATGTAAGTCTCGTGTAATTTTTATGTAAATTTTTTTTTTTATTATTTATAAAGTGAATAAAATTTACAGATTACTTCAAAACATCTGGCTACTTAACATTTTTTAACGTCGCTGTTCATAAGACTAAAAACAATCAAATTAACGCTTAAATTCAATTAGATATTTTTTATAAATGTATTATGAAGATAATACAAGTCGCAAATCATCAAAAAAAGGGTTTGCGACGTGTTTTCATGCTTGCAAACTCATTTATTATCCCTTCATAATTTAATTTTCTTGCAATTTCGTTTTCAATCGACGGCATTGCTAAGGAAGACAAACGTTCATCGACCATTGTTGACCTATACTATGAAATATAGCTACATGTATTTATGTATAATTACCCAAGATTATTTATACTAACCTGTGAAATGTTTTAACTTGCTGTGACTTGTGTTAACCTGTGAAATTAGTTTTAACTTGCTAAAGCTCTGTTCTGCACTTGTAACAGTGACTGGTAATGTAAGAATGATTCCTAACACAATAACTAGATTGAGATTTTTGCAACTCTTTTTTGTAGATGTAGGTTAGAAAATCATGTGCAGATTTTAGAAAAGCATTTTTTTCCTCCTTTTTAACAATGACAAATGGTTTTAACTCCATTTCTAAACCCTCAGAATCTATATCATTAAGCTTTATTTGCAAACTTTTGAAATATAGAACAATTTCCAATATTGCAATATACAGCAGTATGCAACAAACTTTTGCAATATGCAACAGACAGAGAATTTTCATGGAAAGCTTTGATAAGACTCTCGGATTGGTAAAAAAAGTCAAAAAGCTTTGTGACAATGCTGATCTGTTCAAAACGCTCTTTTACTGATGCAATTGACATATCAATTAGTGGCAAAAAAAAAATCTGCTTTATACTGATGTTCAGGTTGCCAAGTGTGATCAACGCACTCTTATGAATAATTTTTTTTTTTTTTTGTGAATGCACTATTGGAAAAATCCTTTCAATGCCCAATAATTCTTTGATTTCTGACGCCTTAATACATGCGTCAGAAAATCGATTTTCACGAGACTCATAAAGAAATGAATTTGTTGCCTTTATTTTACAAGCTAAGATGTCGAGAGACTGCAGGAAACTAAAGCAGCATGCTTGATTTGTTGATTTGAAATAAAACATCATACCAATTAATGATTGATAATAAGAAAGGCCATGTTCTAATATATTCTGTCAGCGATCGTACTTCTGTGGCTGTTGCCCAATCTCTCTTTTCTAAGGCATGTTCTTCCAATCTTTCAAGTGCCTCTAAGATTTCTTTTAAATAGTAGCGAAGTGGTTTAACACAGTTTATTTTACTTTCCCATCTGGTATATGATTTTGGTTTGACAGAAATTGCAGTGCAGGATTTTAAAATTTCCTATCGAGGAGGAGACGATGAAAAGAGTGTATAAAACCTTGAAAGAACACTAAAAAAAGAAATTGCAATGACAGTGCACCAACAACAATAACAAGATTGAGTGAATGGTTTGCACAAGGAACATAGGATTCTTCACAAGGAACATAGTATTAAGGCCTTAAGATTCATTTCCAGAAACTTTGCTTGAACACCTTCTACCTTTTTCCTTTCATATTAGCACCATTATCATCAGATTGACCTCGACAGTCTAAAATATTTAAATCCCTATCTTTTGCCTGAATTAAAAATACATCAAAAAGCCCTTTTCCAGTGTTTTCATTTTCTGTAAGATATCCAAAGAAGCTTTCAGGAGTAGATGTTACTACCCCTTAAAATTTCTCCAGGAGTAGATGTTACTGATCGCAGAATAATGCTCATTTGTTCTTTGTGCAAAAAGTTATTCATTTTCGTAAAGTCTTCCATTGTTTAAAGCACTTAAAATGTGCACTGCATGTTTCGTGTTCTTTAAGTTTTTTTGGTAAGCCTTCCCTAGTGTTCATTCCTTGCCGGAATGGTGAAGAGGTTATCCCAAAAAGTTTGCAACAAAATAAAACACTTTATTGCTATTGCAAAGAATATATGAGCCATGTCCGTCTAAAGATTTCTCCATTCTTCATCTTGCCATTATAATAATTTATTGAAAATCGTCTTCTTTTTAAATTGTATGGAAAATCAATTTCATTTTTTTGAAACCCCGTTTAACAATGTCACACCATTATGCGTCGGAAACGCAATCTGGCCACTCAGAAGGATCATCACTGAGAAAAACAGACGGAATTGTTATGCCATTTGATGTAGACTCGCATATCAATTTATCTGACTCTAGTTTCTGTTGGTATCGTAGTTTCTGTTAATATCGAAACACTTCCAGGCTAAATTGCTGGTTTCAAAAAATGTGTTAGTTTGGGGTACTTTGTGATTTCCTCCCTGGCTGCTGCTTTTTCTCTTCTCTTAGTGGCGCTACTTTTTACTTTTTTCAAACCAATAATTATATCGTGAAAAACTGACGAAAGATAATTATAAATTTTTGGAAACCTTCTTTCATTGTTTTATATGATATAAAAAAACTAACAACGCATAATACTTATAAAAAATAAAAATGATTAAGACCATATAATCATATAGACTTTAAAATAAACAAAGGTGAAGCGTTATAGTTTTCCTTTACATTTCTTTCTTTAAAAACAAGGTCTATGATTTAATTAGAACATATAATATTTTATTTTATAGTATTAAAGCAAAAGTAATAACATATAGCATAATAAAAAAATAAATTATTACCAAGATAAATTGTGAGTTGCCGAAAATAAAAAATTATTTGTAGTTTATAAATAAATATTCTTGAAATCTGTAATCTAAATACAAACAATAATATATTCGCATATAATCATAAAATAAGCAAATTAGAGAAATATATTTCATCACACGATTGGCTGCTGTTTAATGGTTTTTTATTAACAGTTAATAATATATATATATATATATATATATATATATATATATATATATATATATATATATATATATATATATATATATATATATATATATATATATATATATATATATATATATATATATATATATATATATATATATATATTATTAACTGTTTAATGGTTTTTTATTAACAGATTTTTATAAAGCTTGCGTTTTATAATAAAATTACTATTATTAAACATTACAAAATGTTATTATTCAAGTTTAAGAATATTTAAATCATACTACATAAATACAAAATTTTAAAAATGTGTTTACTAATATTCACTTTTTGAATAATAGTTGGAAAAGCATAATACTGCTTTTCCAATTATCATACCACACCTCATTCCAATTATCATACCTTCATTGAGCATTAATCTTTTGTTATCATTTTTAATAACCATTCATCAAATATATATTTTCATTATTGATTCATAAAATGTATAATTTTCTTTCTTTTAGTGAGTAAATATTTACTTTGATAATTACTTTTGCACTGAGATAACTTCCTTATTTGTATTTAAAATTAAAGTGAACAAAAACTTTGTAACTATGTAGTAACAAATTTTGTGACAAGTAGACAAATAATTACTGATGAACAAGAAGGAAATATGTGCATTTGGGAACCACTTTTATTTTGCGTAATACTACGGCATGGACATTAAGAAACCACTTTAAGTTTATATATATATATATATATATATATATATATATATATATATATATATATATATATATATATATATATATATATATCCTTCATAAAAATAATTGCATGTAGGTCTCATGTAATTTTTATGTAAAATTATATATATATATATATATATATATATATATATATATATATATATATATATATATATATATACATATATATATATATATATATATATATATATATATATATATATATATATATATATAATCATTAGTAGCAATTTGTTACTTAATTTAAAAACGTTTTGCGTTACTTTAATAACACCTTAAAAGATAGGCTTTGATAAACTTTTTTTCATATGTAATTAAAAACGTAATATATATATATATATATAATATATATATATATATATATATATATATATATATATATATATATATATATATATATATATATATATATATATATATACTTTTCATCAATATCATCTCTTGATTCCACTAGTTGCGTTTTACCTGACATAGCCGTCAAACAGGTTGATCCCTTGCTTGACATTCGCATCACTTCAGCTTCTGTATCTAAAGTAATTTCCTGCTTAGACTCTTCAACAGCTTGTGGTCCTGACAACATTCCTGTTGTAGTTTTGCAGAGGTGTTCTCCGGAGCTTTCATCCATACTTTCTAAACTATTTAACAAGTGCTTATCAGAGTCTTGTTTTCCATCATGCTGGAAAGCAGCATCTGTTATCCCTATTTTCAAAAATTCCGGAGAGCGATCTGATTCATCTAACTACCGTCCCATTAGTCTTCTTCCTGTCATAAGCAAGGTTTTTGAATCTTTAATTAACAAACACTTAATCTCTCATCTTGAATCAAATAACTTACTTTCTGACCATCAATATGGATTTCGGTCTTCTCGTTCTACAGCTGATGTGCTAACAGTAATAACCGATAGGTTTTACCGTGCATTAGATAGAGGTGGAGAGGTTAAGGCTATCGCACTTGACATTTCTAAAGCTTTTGATAAAGTTTGGCATGCTGGTCTTCTCCATAAGCTTTCTTCTTATGGTGTAGCTGGTAACGTCTTTAAGATTATTGAGTCCTTTTTTTCCAATCGTAGTATAAAAGTTGTCCTCGATGGACAAGACTCTTCTTCACATCCTGTAACTTCAGGGGTTCCTCAAGGTTCAATCCTTGGCCCTATACTCTTTTTAATTTACATTAACGACCTTCCAGATATTCTCACATCTAAGGTGGCATTATTCGCTGACGACACTACCATTTACTCTTGTCATGATAAGAAGCCTACACTCTCTGATTGCTTGGAGGGGGTATCTGAGCTTGAAAAGGATCTCACTTCTGCTACAGCATGGGGCTCACAGTGGCTGGTGAACTTTAATTCAGATAAAACTCAATTT